GTTGGCGCAGGATAGAGCAGGGTTTAGAGCTGTTGTGCATAGGGTCGCTATGAGTTGGAAACGACTCGATGGCACATAACAGCAACAACACAAGGGCAGTTCACTTTTTCTTTTAGATAAAGAATTGGTTCCAGTTCTCTTGCTGATTCTATTTCCGATAAAGACATTTCACAAAACAAATGAATTGAAATAATTGTACTATATAATTCATTCACCACCTGTTGCATACCAGGCGTTGTTCTGAATATTTAAAACACCTTAGTGGGTTTCTATAGCTCTGGGATAGATTGCATCATTGTTCTCATTTTCAGATAGGATAGCTGAGGGTATGAGGGGTCTGCAGACTTGTCTAAAAGGATTCTTGAATTTGAACACAGGCAGTCTGCTTCTGGACTTCACTGTTCAACACCATATTGCTCTCTAAGTATTTTGTGCTTTCTAAAACTTTACAGATCGTTCTCAGCATACTGTATTTCATCTCTCTTTCTGTGTCATGCAGGTGAAGAAGTGGTAAGAGGCCGAGGGTGGGTATTCTTAGTGTTGTCAATTCACAAAAAGTAGAAGTGGGTCTCAAAGAGGTTAACATATAACTTAGAAACCACTCAGTTCATTATTGGCAGGTTCAAGAATAAGACCTGGCTCTCTTCCACCCCAGAAGTCATACCTATGCTCCCCTGCCTGCTGCCCAGGTCAGTGTTTCTTAATGTCAGATTTTGTTCTGGTAGGAAAAAGATTTCTAAAAGGCACGTAACATCTTGCTGTTCACCAGGAAAGACATTTTTGGTCTAACATAGGTACAACTGCAATATAATTCTTTTCCATTGATCACATACTCCTGACCATCTCCCCATAACCTATTCTCTGCCCCACTTGGATTGTTAATTTCCCTTTATTCTATTTGAAATTTACAGACTATTGACTAAGTGTCATCCAAGCCAGAATGAATCATGGCCTGTCAAAGGGCATCTTATCCCATCTGGAAATAATACACCTCTCCCTTTTACTTATTCCAAAAAGGGCACTGGCATCTTTCCTACCCCTGAATAGAAATGTTCCTCTTGATCTTATTTCCATCTTCAAAAAAAAAAAAAGACTCCACGAGTTCATCTGTCCAGAGGCCCAGCTTTCCTCTACGAGTGATGGTCTCCCTGGGCACATTTACTACCCGTTGACTTCAGCCACTTCCATTCTTTTTGGCCTCCCTGACCCCCTTTTATGCTAGCATTCCCGTGAGGATAACACCACAAGAATGAGTTCTAGAAGTTGTGTGCCCACAGTTAGCTATTAGTACAACACCTGTTTATCTGAACTCACGTTTGGATTTACAAAGGTCTTTTCAGCCTCCAGTGAAATAAGGTACCCATGCTGACCTTTGAAGTGGGGACCCTGGATTTGTGGCCTGCTAGTCAGACCAGAAAATCAGGCCTATTCCTCTAAATCTCTCACCAGGTTCCTTTTGCTCAGACAAAAATGCAAACTGGCTGCAAAAGTAGTTGTTTCCCTTAACACATTTCCATTACTTGACCAAATTTACCAAGCTGTGTGAGTTCCCTATGCTGGAAACTGGCCTGTTTTTCCTCCTGTCTTGGAGTGCCTTTTTATCTGCGGAGGCAGCCAGCCTAACAGGTGAGTGCTTTTGTGCTGCAACTGAATGTAGGAATGTGTGTGTGTGTGTGTGTGTGTGTGTGTGTGTGTGTGTGTGTGTGTGTCCCTGTGTCCAACAGTTCCTCTTCCTGGCCCAGAAAAAGATGAAATGAAGTTTATTTTGAAGAGGTCTGTGTCAGATTCAGCCACTCCTCCTTGAAACCCTCAGAACTACTACTACTATTACTACTAATATGTTTATTGATACAAAGGAGCTTACCATAAAGTCTCCAAAGTGTTATCACTTTTCTTATCACTAGTTCAGAGATGCTGTTAGAATCTACCAGTGACTGATACATAGAAGGAATAGAGATAACTTTTCAAATACAAGTCTACTCTCAGTCCATGAAGGGATGTGCACAACTGCTGTGTAATGTGGGGATGTAGCTTTCTACTGGCTGATGGTTGGCAGCCTCCCTGACGTGGTAACAGTGTGGTACAGGGGATGCTAAAAATATTTGCATACCAACTACAGTAGAACAGAAAACAAAGAACAAGTGTAGTTGTCCTACAGTTGGATATCTTTTTTTTTTT